GTATTCTCCTTCGGGCCGCGATCGAACGCGTAGCCACAAGGCCAACTTCCTCTCGAACTGTTCACCGTGTTCGCCGCATCGCGCGAATATGTTTGTACTTTTTAATACGGTCCCGTATCTCTCAAGAGGACGAAAAGTGCAGTAAAACTTTGCCGGTGTAAACATCTCTCTCTTGAATTCAAGCGCAATCTCGAGAGATGAAGTCTGGAAGAATCTAAGTAGTTGAAGAAAACCATTTCGAAACCAGATAGGTTTTCCTCCAATTACGAAACTCATGTTTTCGCGGATCTGTGGTATTACAACGCGGTAGGAATTGTGAGGGGGAGTGTAACATTTTCCAATGATTAAAATCCTATTTTTATCAACTATATTCTTTAGCGAATTCTCGACAATTATTATACTAAAGCATTCAATCAAATGCTCGTATGTTTGTAACATAAATTTGAAATCAAGACCTGTCCACACGAGCTCAATGAAAATATAATCGTTGTTTGTTTCACTTTAACAATATGGTATAGTGTTTATTATTTTCATTGTTATATATTTTACGCTCCCTTGTGCTTATACACAATATATCGATATTAACAATTTGGATAAGAACCTCAAGAAATATTGCTTCCGGATCTTGAAAGTCTTCTCTCACATTCTGCAAATTTATAATCAAAAGTCTATCAAAAATGATCCGTGAGGCAAGTAGTCTATTATCGGCGATAATCATACGGCGATATAATTAGAGAAATTTAATTACACCTTTCCGAGCAGCGCTTTCATTCACGGTTGAGCACAGCTGGAATGAGAGGTTAATTTGGCGACACCTAGTTTCATTAACAACGCCATTAAAAGTAATGGCCGGTGAGGGGGCGAAGTCGGTCGCGAGGCCTCCTAGGGGGCTGGGAGATTCTAATTACGGAATAGGACTTCCCTGGTGGAGTACGTAAGGCGTGGGTAGGGACCGGAGAGGAGGTCAAACGCCGGATGTGGGGAGGGTGGGCCATCGAGTCGAAAGACGCCATGATATTCGTTAAACGGCATAATTGCACCCTCCGGAACGGAACTCGCGTAATTGTCCTGAGCACGACGGCGCGACGTCGTGAAAAACTTATCGTCCGAACTGATTATTGAAATCGCGCGATTAATTTCCGCATTTAAAATGATAGCCAGGAACGAGCGAGACATCTATAAAGTCTTGTTACGTAAATGTCAGATGAGAAGCTGTACGATAAGGATTAGAGAGTGCTAAAAATACGTTAGGCAAATTTTTCTTTTATCCGCACACTTGTATTGTGTACGGCAATACCAGTCGGTGTAACGAGGCGATAAAGGAACGGATAAAAAGTTCTAGGCGGAGCGATAAAGCGAGAATGATAAAAGAATTTCCGTGTAAAGGAAACTAATGATTTTCGTTAATTAAATAGTACTGAACAAATTGTGTACTACGAGAGCGCGAGTTGTACACCCAGGCTGATAAAGGGGATAATGAAATATATCAAGATGCGATAATACTTCGCACGTAGCTTTAATGGAAAACTTATAAATCGATTATATGGTTTCATTTGCTATTATCACCCGTTAATCTAAAGTGGAGCGACGTAGTTAATGACGATGATGGCTTATTTATCGCAGTAATAAAATGGCCATTTCATTAACTTATTTATACCAATAAAATCACCATGTGTAATCCATCTGACAAATATACCTACAATGATTCATCTGTGTGTTATCAGTACGTATTAAATGTACGTACGTAGCGTTGCTTTACTTAATCGTGCTAATTAGACGTAACAAAATAGGCATACGGATGAATATAAAATTTAATTGCTCGCAATATTTTATATATAATATTGAGAGATCGGAGTATGACACTTTACGAGATTATCATGCACACGTTATCAACAACAGATGTATCGATAATTACCATTCTATCGTTAAACAATATCGAATTAAAGTTTGATAAGGAATCAGAGCAACTTCAAATTTTCCGCAACAAATATAGCAAAGCTGTCTAATGAAATATAATCACGGAAAGACAGATAGTAATTAATCTTTCATTTCTTTTTCATTTATACGGACATTCGATAGACTCGCAACAAATAGGAAACAACAAGTACAGCGATATGTCCCGCAATTGCAAAATTGTATTAAAGAACTTTTTCGCGCTATGATCACTTTTATATTTCATCAGATTAATAAAACTATTTTATCTTTGCCGCAGGACTAGAAAGGAGAAAACCTGTCATCTAGTTTCATAAAATCTGGTGTAAGTTTTAGTTGAGTGACATAAAAGCGAGCAAAGAATTGAAATTAGTCAGATAAACGGGATCGAAACCAGACGATCGATACGGCTCCATTAACGATATTTACATAAATATAGATTCGCGATAAGCGAATGCGCGACATCAATTAGGACTTATCAGCGGCCGACGATAACTAATCGAAACAGCAATCTTATCCTTCGGATAAGAAGGGTGACGTGCGAATCAAACATTATCAAATTGTTAATTTTTTTGGCAAAGAGAGACGCAATAGCACACGGTACACTCTTCTCTCTCTCTCTCTCTCGCACCTGTACTTACACCCGCTAATTTGTCCTGAATTCTTGATTATCGAAAAAGTCACGAAATCTAATAGTCCGCCAATCAGCATTACCAAACGAGAGAGAACAGATCTCGACTCTGTACAATTGCGTGGCGTGTTCAACGTTCAAAGTGTTTCAATTTGTCGGCTTAATAGGAACATCATTGCCGCTTACGCGAACATTTCTGTATGTCGATATTAATTCTTTTCAAATGTATCTTACGTGAAACATTCCTAGTTTATTATTTCGAAAAATACCTCTAGATACTTCCAGCGACAGTGTCTAGCAATTTTTAACTGCTAGAGTCAATAGCGCGAGCATACGATCGATAATAAGATCGTGGCTTGTTTGCATTACTTATGTAATATTATTTCCCAATTATCGGCAATATTTTTTCAAGATATGATCCCACAAATTTGTTTTCGGAGTCATCTTCGGGTGAAAGACTTTTCACTCTCAAATAACGATATGGTGGAGAATTCTCGCTTATCGTGACGGGGCATAATCGACGGTTAAAAATCGTTTGATGTTTGCTCGGCAGCCAAGGGTGACAGGAAGTTACCTCTGTATATGTGGCGGAGTCCACAATATGATATACATATGTTTGCCACCTGCATGGACCCTGACTGATATCGACAGTGGCGTAGAATGCATAAATGTGCAAGAACTCATACAAGACGCTACTATAAGACATACTCATTACAAGATACTCACGAGTTGCAATCTCGCGTATTATCAGAGTTCTATATTGCTTCGCAATGAAAATAAATAATTAAGGAAGATATTTTAAAACGCAAGAGTGGTATACAAAATTATTGCCCGACAAATGTGTAACTTTTACGAGATTAAGAACGCGTGAGAGTATGATACAAAATAAATAGACAAATAAAAAATTAAGAAAGAGCCAAGTGTTAATGTAATTTGCATAAATTCCTTCTGACATCTGTATTTATATCGTTTCTTCTTCCAACTTCTTGACCTTTTATAATGATAAGTAAAATAACAAATTTGCAATAAGGTAATTAAGACATAAATGGAATTAAACTTACATTTTGTCGTTCACAGAAGGATTTGAGAAAATGAAGAATAAATTTCATTGGTTTAACCCACTTTTTAAGAACTTGGTAAAATTTTAATTTTCACTCAATTTTCTGGAAGTCTAGGAAAAGTAAGTTAGTGTCCTATTAAGCCTTCGAAATATGTTTAAGGGAGCAGCACGTGTGTCCACGACACTGATACGATAACATTACGGGAGTACGTAGAAACGTATCGAGAGGAGAGTGAAAACGAGTATCCCGTGAGTGTGCTGGACGTGCTTCGGCCCTTAAGTAAACACTCTTTCGTCTCTTATTTGGCTACATCGAGCAAACGAGGAGAGTGAACCATGTACCTTCCAAGCACCGTGTTCGTGGTGGAACCATGGGGCGGACTTCGGGTGATCCATCATTTTTCGATTGTTAAACGCCCCAAGTGTCTGCCACACGGATGCTTTTGCGCATCTTCACCGAATTATTATCAATTTTTGCATCGCCGAAAAATCTTTCCGATATTTTAAGCATGCAATCACAGTCTAAGTAATAATCACGTATGCATGTATGTGGTCGTGATGTTTGTGTGTGTGTGTGTGTGTGCTAGACGCTTGATAGGTGTGTGCCGAGCCACCAGATACTGAATTTCTCACAGATAAATTTAATATCGCTAGTTAAAAACCAATGATATCTAATTTTAACGACCTACACTGGCCAATGTTTTGATTTAAAAAACAAAACACGTTACAACGTTTCGATCCCGGATTTGGACCCTTCTCAAGTAATCTGTTACAAAATTGTTAAAGATCACATATTAATAGTTTGGCTAATACCACTATGACAGCAAGAGATTAGCCAAAAAAATAATAATTATACTCTTTGGTTGAAGAGTGCAAAGTCCATCGAAATTGCATAATTGATTATTAAATATGAATAAAAGTGACACGAAACCTGTTTTAGACGAGAGATCAAAAGTTGAACTGAATAATACTGAATTTCGATTTCTATCCGAAAAATAAACGGATATTAAACGTGCGAAAGTTAAGAAAATTATTTTTTGTATTTATTTTTGATTATATCAGACTTGCAAGATAAGATAAAATGTTTAATATAATAGCTCAGAAACGTAAACATATTTCACATTAACTTCTATTTAATAATAACTAATGTATTTGAAATATTTCATTTTAAATACAGGGACTGTTTTGTTTTGAGTGTTTCATGATAGCATTACACGATTACGAAACGGTTTGAACTTGGAAGAAATATTTCTCAGCGCTAGATGCGCGTTGTCACCCCACTGATAACCAAATATTCGTTCAACTGATATGAGATACAGTCGATAAGGGGACCGATTACTCGCAAACGGGGTGTGATACCTATTAGGTGACTATTAGGTACCTGATAACGCAACACGTATATATTATTGATATAATACTTCATTGCACGATGTTATCTGAACGGATGTCCACTAATACGCATATCTTTGGTCACACATTTTTCAGATAATCAGATGTGCGCTATAATTAATCCCAATGACTCGCGACCATCGCCATGATAAGAAATATTTTGATCATAAATGCATATCTGGGTATCTTTAAAAATTTTATATTCGGATATTTATTCTTCACAAATAAATACTTATCTGTCCGTGAAGAATAAATATCCGAATATAATGTATAAACAAAATGTAAAGTTAACCAATTTAAAATTAGTCAATGTCAAAAATCACAAGGCGAACGTGAGAAAAAGAAAACTACGATAATGTAATAATTTATAAAATGAGAAAACGTGCAATACAAAAGAAAGCGGGTCACCTCAATCTTCGCAAAAGTTGTTGAAATAATTCAAAAAGTTAAGCTTGTAGAAGAAATTTCAATCGAGAAAGAAGTTTGATTGAATGAAAGAAATATGTTTCCAATGAGGTTCACGGATAATTTGTTTCCTCGTAATCTAGAATTTCTATCTCAGTCTATTTTCCTAATATTACAAAAGTTGTTGAGACAAATTCAGCGACAGCAGACTAGAAAACAATTGTCACGAACTGTGGATTATGTTAATAAAAGAAAGTTACGGTTCGGAGGAAATAAAACTAGCACGGGGGTGACTTCACCTTCTTCTTCAAACTGAACAGCCACGGTGGGTGGCCATCGGACTTGAGGCACAGTTAAATTAATGACACGATAATATCGATTACAATATCGTCTTGATACCTGCCGTGCGGACACCAAGAATCCCTAAGAAGACGCCGCGGAATCGTTTATCCGCTCTCGCACCCTCGCCACATTTTCACGCCTATTTGCCTCTCCTTCAGACTTGCACGGTCACGTGGAGAGCGTTCGCGCGTCTCTCTCTGTGCCTCTCTCGCGCCGATCCTTGGCGTAAATTCTGATTGGTCGAGGGGGAAGCTCCAGGGTGGCATCGCTGTCCCCGTTGCACACGACGGAAGCACATCGGTGCGTCTCACCCCCGCCGAAGGATCTGTGGGTGTGTAGCTCGGACACGCCCGACCCGCGGTGGGCGTAGTCAAAAGCCAGCTGCAGCGATTCTATCTAGTGGGAGAAGCTTTTTCGTCAGACACGCGGTCACTCGCGCCGTCACTTTGCGACGCGACGCCGAGCCGCTTGCTCGTGTCGTCGGCTTTGTGTGAGGATCGTGATTCGTATAATCGCGGAATCGATCGGTTGCGAGGAACGATTATCGATTCACCAAGTGCGGACGACCGAGCTATGGATCAATTAACGATCGTTCCCATGACACATCCACGTAATGACGTTCGAAACTGTGCGAAACGTCGCTGAGATTTACGCAGGTACATCACCACCTCTGAGTCATCTGTAATCGATCGATTTAAGGAATTTAAGGAACAATCGTCAATGAAGACTCGATTGTAACTAAAATTAGTTTGTGTTGATTTTGAAGATCGTCCTGGCCGTCACTGATGTTTTAGACATTTTTCAATACAATTCGCTCGAGTCAGTGTCTGAAGCAGGGATCGTTATATTGCTCAAGTGACCCATAGATTCGGTTAGAATCCAGCAGTGTCGACATCGCAAGGACATAATCTCACCGGAAAGTATGTGTTAAAGATCTACGGTGGTCGCAGGATATGGCAGCTATGCATTACAACGCGCAGATGGTCTCAGAAGACTTGCATCAGCACCCGCGACATCTCTACAACCTTCAACAAAGACTTCAGGATCCCGGATCTTCGCCAAGATCGGAGGATGCCAGATCGCCGCTGGACAGCCGAGTGAGATCGCTCGAGGAAGTGCGTTTCGTGGGTGCTAGATCACCAGACGTGGAAGACAGAGTAATCAGATATCACGAGGATGCCGGAAGTAAACGTTTCTCCAAAGATCACGCGGGTCCTGTGTTTTTCCAGGATTCGGAGAACTCTTCCAGGAAGTGTTTTAGCGATGAAATAGCGACAAATCGTTGTCGCGAGCCGGAAAGCTCTCCTGGAAGGACGTCCTCGCCGCAAAATTACATCCTCAGCTCATCCAATCAGCACAATAGCTCCATCGGCAAGACGTCTTTCTGCATCGATGCGCTTCTGGGTCGCGCTACGAAGCAGAATGAGATCGAACAATCGTCGGCGGATCGGCAGAAATCGTTCTCCAGAAATCACGGTGTCCAATCCGATGGTCTGAATCTTGGCGGCATTCAGGAACGGGAATCTCCCACCGCTATAAGATGCTCTGGAGATCAACGAACCGCCTTGAGAAATTCTCTAAATCCTTTCGTTCAACATCACGAATCCGATTCGCCCGGTCTGGAAGCTCGAGAGAGACACCCCTCGAATCGCGAGACCGTTCTCGGTCTCCATTCAGGCGATTCCGGCGTGTCTGTCCAAAGGGGCCAGTTCAGGCCCGAGACGGGGACCAGCAACTATCGGAACGACCGGCTCGAGAACGTCGAGGACGACACGTCGGTTGACGTGGACCCGACGCGAACCGGAAGCGCCAGTCCCGGGAGTAACGCGAGTCGCAGTCCTACTTCCAGTCCTCCGATATCTCCCGGCTCGGAGGATCCGTCCAGTAACGGGGTGCTGAGCCATCAGAGCCTCGCGTCCGGGCCCTACGGCGTAGGCGCGGCGGTGGTCAGGCAGAATCAGGGCCTCCTACTGCATCCCGCGGGACCACTCATCCATCCCGGTGGATTGTACTATCATCCGGCTGGCGGCAGCGCCTTCCACTCGATACACAAGGAGGGTCAGCCGGTCGGCCATCCCCAATCCGGAGGGCCTCATCCTCAGCAGCATCACATCCATCCACTCCAGCTTGAGTGGTTCGCCCGGACCGGCATGTTATACCCGAGACTTCCCGCGGATTTGGCCGGTGAGTAGATTGACGCGATTAACCCCGATTAGTTTCGAACGTCGTCATGTTGTTTGCGCATTCGTGAATCGTTGTAGCTCTTGACAATTATCACATAGACTATACAGGAGGGAAATACGCATTTTGCGAATGAAAAAAGGTTTTACGTTGGAGAAACTTTGAGATACTGTTTCACCTTCGTATCTAAATAAAAGAAGCATATCTAAATCCGTGCCTAATAGAGATAATATTGATAACATTTCTGACAATATTGATTACAATAAAAATTATTTTACATATTTTAGTTTCGAGATATTTCTATACTTTTGTATTTTTTATATTAACGAATAATAAGAGACTTTAGAAGACGCACATGCAATACAGTACATCTGCGCGAATTATAAATAATACTTTGAATTGCACCATTATCTAACAAAAGCGTAAATCGTGTCCATCAAATTGAGATTATCGATCACAGCCGAAATGCTGGTGCTTGTAATTAATTGAATAATATCATAATGATCGCCGCGTCGAAGAACGATACAAGCAATTAATCGCGCGATATCTGATGAAAATCACAATAATTATCGTCGCTAAAAAACAGCGCAAATTGAATTTCGCTATTTTATGATAAGATATCATTTATATGAGCCTTTAAGTGGAATAGTATAAAGAGAAAGTAAAAAATAAAGATATAATAACGTTAAATCATATATTTTAAATTACGTTTAATTAAAATACAAGGTAGGCCTATAATTACTCTGCGGTACTGTGCGACGCCTGTACATCTCTCACGTTATTTATATGTAAAATACTCTTAGATCCCACTTGATAAGCACCTAAACCAAAGATCGAAACGTTGTGAAAGCTAATTTAATAAATGTGGCCAGCGGTTGAAATTTGTAACGTTTATTTAATTATTGACGTCGCAGAAACATTGAATTTTTTCTATTATTTTATCAAAATGCCATAATGAAGTAATTGTAAAGATCTCATATAAATTTCTGTAAGCTTTTCTATGTCCTGAAGTCAAAACAAAAAGTACGATCCCTCGTTTTTTTGTGCGACGATGGCTTTAAGAGTTATACTATTTAAGAGATAAACGCAAGAAAGGTGTGCGTTTAATTTTTCAAAGTGGAATGTCCGAATCCAATTTCCGGGCCGTGTGATTCTTATCGTAATCCAAAGTGAAATCTCAAACACTGCAAATGCTGTTACAAAAGACGGTTCGACCTTCACGTTAAAATCATTAAACCTGTTTCAATGCTTGATAAATTAATGATTCGATAATAATTTGCGAGGAAATCGACTACAGCCGATAACGGTCGTTAAAGTCGATAACAATCCTCATAAATCGCTCTTTCCTAAGCCGACCGTGATGCTAGCGGTGCCGATCCCAGAAAAAAACACGTTGATTGCGACTTTATCGCCGGCCACGGATCTGCAACAAATAGCGCGCGAGATAGCACAAGAATAGACGCGAGCGAATTCGCGATTTAAAAGAATCAAATCTAAAACGTGTGAAATATCAACTTTACAATCACAAATTTTCTAATAAGAATTTACAGCGATTGATTAACTCTTCTCTTATTACATTAGGCAACATCTGCGATTAATTACACAATTAACGAAATGTCCGCACGACGTTAATAACTCGCAGTAAAATTTTTATAATAGGAAAAAAGAAGGAACTTGGCTTCCTCTTTGGAAAATCTGCGGGACGAAGGGAGACGCGTATTGCGCAAAATCGAAATTCTTTGCTGAGCGAGTGAATCGTCAGGCGATATCGTCGATTGACGGTAACTCATGCGTGGGAGGTTGTGTTATGTTAGCTCTCGACGGCTATTACCAGCTATTAACTCGAAAGTGAGAGGCAACGTCGAAAGACAGATTGCCGCTGCGATGAGCAGATAGTACATGTTTACGTGTCTAATGTACCGCTCCACTAGACCATATTGGCCGACTACACAAATTTTACGATCTCGATAACGGCAATGTGACGCTTGCATGCTCTTATATAGATTCTCCAATTGTTTAAACAATGTCCAACGCGAGTTAGCATAAAAATATTACAAAACGTAAGACATCCACAAAACTAGTCAGTTTTTATTTTAGATAAAAGATTATATTTAACAATTATCTTTCCTGGAAAGATAATTTTATCGTAAAATAAATTTCCTTCAACCTTTCGGACAGTCGGCCATTTTTAGCCAAAATTTCTCCGAGATTTTTGCATCGAATAAATCTCGCCGGGTTTTGATTAAACTTTCGCGATTCTTCCCGAAAAATGAGAAAGTGCATAGTTCGTTCAGTCGCCGTTTGTCTAAAAAAGCCTTTATTCACGAGAACCGGCGAACTGCATCGCTGCCAACTAATTCGCAAACCTTGCCACGAATCACAGAAACTGTCTCCTTCGAAATCCGAAGAAGGGAAAGACGAAGGTAGGAGAGTAGGATGGTACCAAGTGGCGACGGAGAAATTTGGAGGGTAAAAGGCAAAGGCCTGAGGGAGGAAGGGAAGTGCAACAAGGAGTCTGGTTACCACGGTAAATTTCGCGTTCGGAAAAAAGAGCCGTGGCCGCGTTGTCAGGCCAATCAGTCGAGGGCTTTTATCGAACAAATTGGTCAGTGAACGTATGGCGATGGCGGCGGCGGCGGCGGCGGCGGATACCCTGGAACAGAGGAGAGAGGAAGGGAAGCAGAAATGAGAGGCGGAGTGGCGGCGGGGACGCCGCGGACACAAGTGGCGAACGGTGACGGGTGCGCGGGGTATTTCCTGTCAGATGATCCTGATTGGTAGTTGCCGAGCAATCCAGCGTCGACCAAAAAAGGCGAAAAAAATCGAGCGGTAGCGTAAAACAAGCGCAAAAAAGGGAAAACGTAAAAAAAAGAGTGAGAGGGGGGGAGAGAGAGAGAGAGGAAGAGTACAAATGAGTGCGCGCGCGCGCGCGCGCGCGTGGCACGAAATAAAACGCGCGTCGAATACATCGGATGTGCCCCTGCCGCTGCCCACCCCCTGGCACGCTCGTTGGAGGCCATCGTCGGTACACGGCTCGACTTGTTAAAAATTGCCGGCGGCCGCGCAGACCACCCCCTCGCGCGACGTTTTGTAAATAACACGGGGGAGAGGAGGGTGGCGGGGACGGCAAGGGGGATGATGCGAGCTTTTATTTGCGGAATATTTGTCGCGCGTTATGCCCGCGCGCGGCGACGCAACGACAACACCATGTTTCATCTATCCCGTGCCGCGCGTAACGGCGTATCGAAATTTAACTAGCGCGCTATAAGCGGGGTGTGTGTGCACGTGTCGGGGCCCGCGTATTGCGCCATGTACCCCCGATGCCCGAGCGGTACCGCCGCGCCGCCCACCGCACCCCAAACCTCACGTCACCGCCGGCTGCTAGATAGTTATCCATATCGCGTTACGAATGGATGGCCCGCATCGCGGCCGCTCTAATTAGCGCGGTTCTGCGGCCATCGATTGCCGCCGCCGATGAAATGGCCATTGAAACGGCAAAACACCGTCGTTATTATAACGCACCGTGTTACTGGAATTAACACTAGACGCGCATCTTCCAGGCGAATTATTTTATTTCGGAGTACGTTGTCTTGCGCGGACAGGCGGCTAAATGAAGAGTCGAACTGGAATAACCGACAAATTATTTTGATATTGAAAACTGGTTTGAACTTGCCAACGTAATCTCGACGAAAGAAACAATTTGATAGAAAATATGTTGAGAAAAAATACCGCAGACTTATCTCATGTATTCTAGATTTTATCAGAGACGAACATTTTTTGCCGATCTTTTTAGATAAAAAATTAACTCTTTCTTCGAACAGATGTCCAATGTTACACAAAAATTACTTGCAATCGATAAGATTTCATTAAGTTTCCCTCGTAATTATCATTCTACGACTTGCAAGTTACCTATAAATGCAAAAAATATATAAATATTATATTCTTCCTTAAAAAGTGGACGTAAAACAAAATTGAAGGCGATTCTATGTTTCGTTCCCATATGCATATTTAATAAAATTGCACCAGAGAAGTCTGCATTAATGGAATAACTTAATATTGTACGAAATAGACGTCGTTTGCAAAGGCGACAAAGGCGTATTCGCATTCGTCGCTGCGCACTTGACGTAACCGTATGACATTTCGGATTGTTTTTTTTTTACTTGGCGCATGCATGCGTCAATCAGCAATGATCGACAGTAGTCGATAATTGGCTTTTGGATTAGCGTGCGAAACGTCATCGATTTTCCGATGGTGCGCGTCATATAGGCACGCCAGCGATGATTAATCGTTCGCGCGAGTTGAAGTACAATTGTAATAATTACTGTCCCCCGCCGGGCACGCCGGGAAGGAATAAATTATTCATCGCGAATTTATGGCCTTTTTACGCGATACGCGCGCGCTGAGAAAATCCTTAAGCGTTTTAACGATATTAATTGCAGGTACCGATATCAACGGCAAATATATAAATAATCGCGGAGGGCGCGATAAATCTCGCGTACGATAAAACTGCTAACACGCGACTTTTATTTTCGCCGTTGTTTTACATATTTTAATGCCGATGATTTAATGACGGCGAATGTTTAATTTGCCGATTATGGAAATACAAAATTTCCGCGCTGACGTTTTATTTCGCGTGTCTGCGCTTCTTATTTCGCAACACCGCTGGTTACATTATATTCTAGGGACATGTTACCGAATTTAACACAAACGTTAACCATCTGTGGAGCGCCAAACAATTTAATTTTTAATTAAATTCAATAGGTTTTGTGTAGAAAAATGCTACGGTGACAGTGTTTGCCATAGCATGAGCATTTTCACATTTCTCGGGAAATCTTTCTCCCGTGTAAACGTAAATCGAGTTACAAATTCCTCTCTAATGGCCGATGGTCTGTGAAGATATTTTTTCAAGTTAATGGGAGGACTCTTAGTGGAAGGCGCAAACGAAAAATGAAGGGTGGTTTTGTTTACCGAAGGGCGTCGAAGAAAAAACAGCTTTGCCATTTCCTTTTAGCGCCACGGCAGGACATTGTAAAGTAAAATTAAATATCTTGAAAATGGACACGGTAATTTGGCGACCACCGCTCTTATGGCGTTCGCTAATCGTGTGCGTGTTTCTATTTTTACACACAATCAGTTTTTTTTTCAGAGAGTTAAATATTCGCCTAAAACCAATAAGATAAATTCCATGGAAATTGTTCATCTTGAAAATGGACACGGTAATTTGGCAGCCACCGCTTTTATGGTGTTCGCTAATCGTGCGCGTGTTTCTATTTTTACACACATCAGTGTTTTTTTGCAGAGAGTTAAATATTTCGCCAAAAACCAATAAGACAAATTCCAAGGAAATTGTTCGTCTTCTATGAATAATGTGTTAATAGCGCAAAACGATATAAAATAACGAATAAGCTTATGGCGTACTTGAAATAAAATGTTTCATTCCTTCTCTTATCGATGCATTAAAAAATATACTTCATTCAACTTCATTTTGCAAAATTAATTTTTTCCCTCAAATAAAGCCTCGAATAGAAGATGGGAGATAACATTTCATCCATGGACCACGTTTTTCCGAAATAAATCCGGACCAGCGTTCTATTCAACCATTCTATTATATTATCACTCAATTGATGTCGTGTCTCGCGGTATATTTTATTATCAAGCGAACGAATTTTTATGAAATCGACATTGTTCAGCCGAGGAAAACAAGAAGTTCCTCCCCTCGAGGAACCGCAATTAAGAAGGATTCTCTTATCGATGCATTAAATAATATATTTCATTCAAATTCATTTAGCGAAATTAATTTTTTCCCTCAAATAAAGCCTCGAATAGAAGATTGGAGATAATATTTCATCCATGGACCATGTTTTTCCGAAATAAATCCGGACCAGAGTTCTATTCAACCATTCTATTATCACTCAAGTGATTTCGTGTCTCGCGGTATATTTTATTGCCGAGTGAACGAATGAATTTTCACGAAATCGACATTGTTCAGTCGAGGAAAACAAGAAGTTCCTCCCCTCGAGGAACCGCAATTAAGGAGGATTCGTTTCTTTACGGACAGTTCGATCGACAATTTGGCTTAAATCGACTTGACGAACCGTGAGGGTAGCGGCGTGACGATACGGCCGGAATCCTGGTTTTTTTCTCTTCTTTCTCTCTCTTTCTCTCTCGTTTTTTTCGAACCGATCCCGCCGTCCATACGAACGGGGAGAAACAATGGCGAGGAGATGGCGGCGGAAACTCTACCAACAAAAGGGGGATGATACTCGGGAGACAGAGAGCGCGCGCGCGAGGGGTTGGCGGATGATTTAATTAGTTAATTGTGCGTCATTCATCCGTCTATTCATCCCCTTCGCAGCCTCCCACGTCCCGGCATGCTCTGCCACCGCCGTCACCATACCGTTCCCATGGCAACTCCGCGGACTT